TGGATGTAAATGTGTTCCATGCTATTTCCGTCTTGATCACGTGGTAAACAAATATTATATTGTCAAGTGATCAGATTTCAGTAACATCGTAAACAGTGTTAGCAGTGCTCTAAGAAAATTAAACTATTCCACTACTGAGACACTGATACCTACCAGTGGAATGATGACAAATCCTGAAGCTGCGACCATGCGGATGATGGTTATACCTTTCACAAATATCATATAGCAGTGATTGATCAACAGGAGTTTATGGCAGTGAGATATGAGAAGAGGGCATGAGTGCAAAGGAGTAGTAAAGTAAAGCAGCTGCGGCCATTGTGGTTCATGGAGAAAGCATTCCTATTCGTCGCAGTAACTGCAAGAAAATTGTTGGAAGGGATGATTACAGAGATGTTAAAAAGCCGTTAGTCATGCTGCCAGCATGGAGACGAACATGGCAATAACGATCGCGCTGACAGCGTCTGCACAGCGCTAGCACTGCTCGTCACGACCGACCGACCCCGCGGTGGCGATGGCAGCGCCCGGGAGTGCTTGCGGCGTCCTCACGCAAACTTAATTCCCTGTCGTCCTGGAACGACCATGCAGGCACAATACTCCAACTTCATATTGCTCATCTATCATGACAAAACAGCGGCGCCGTGCGTACAAACACGACCGGCCGGGGGAGCGTCGGAACAAGCCAGGAGGCGGGGCCAGGTGGGTGGGTGGGGTTGGGGAGGGAACGCGGTCTAGGGGCCGGGAGGGACGACAAGGAGAAAGGAACTGGAGCAGAAGCGGTTGGCCGGTGGGGCAGACAACGAACGCAGAGCAGGTGATGGACGATACAAAGGCGGCATTCACAGCAGTGGACTATGAAAAACCTTAGAGCCGGGTGCTTGATGTAGTGGGCTAGCTGTTGGGTTCACTGAGAACAGGATTCCCGACCAGATTTTGAAGTTTTGATGGAGAGGCTGTACAGTGTTGTCGACAAGTCAAAATATCGTTGTGAAAAATTGAGAGAACGAAATCACCAGACATGTGAAGGCTTTACCATTCACAGAACTCATTTTCTTTAGTGGGAATAGGTGGGCGTCACTAAGGAGGGAACGAAGAATGCTTAAGAAATAATACCCAACATGGAAATTACTTTGTCAGCAAAAAAATACGATTAACATCAGGCTAAGAATTGAATTTCTGGTGGGCTCTTAGGTCCACAGAAGGTATTAGATTTCGACCAAGAATTGGATTTTTTTTCATTATCTGTGACGGGTTCCCATGTAAAACAATAAAATCGTACAATAAAACAATAGATCGTAGGAATTAACCAATTACTTGTTGGCATTAACTTAATGAATATGATGGTTTTTTACATATGACGCTAGAAAATTGCGCAATATCGTAGAAAATAAAAATATTTTTGCATTAAAAATAAATTAAGGTATGTAAATGAACTTAATCAAAGTGCGAGAAATTCAAATAAAATGGGTCTAAAATTAATCCATTTGTTTATATACATTTCCTTGCAAATTAATTATCGAGGACAGGAGAGAACGGTTTTCTGTTATGTTGAGCCCACATCTCCTAAAGTATCGCTTGCCATGCTCCAGGCGATCACTTTTTACCTGCCGTTCCCGGGGAACCGTTCCCGATCGGCTACTTTATCAGCACTCTCACACATGCAACAATTATTTCATTCAACCAGTCAGTTTCTTAGCCATGTTTGATACTAATTTACTACGCGGGAAGAAATTTTCATTAGATAACCAGGGGAAAAAAACTGTTTTGAGTGTTATTCCGTCTATTACCATATTGCGCGTAACGGCTGAAACGGCAGACCCCAGAGCTCATACAGATTCACTTCTTACGACACAGCTGACGTCATACAATAGCAAGGCTTCAAGAAAGAGGCCCCCAGAATTAAATACTTACTATTTAATGTTGCGTTATGGAACAAAACTTAGTAGACATTTTTGTTAAGTAAAGAACTGTTGCGGTGTCTGTATATAATGCTACCATTTACTAATTTTAATCTTGAGAATACGGTTCACTCTAGTTATGGCTGCCTTTGCTAATGTCACGGCTTTCTTTATACTACTGCATTTATCGTGCACCTCTGAATCTTGTGTGGTGAATGATAGATTGAAAAGATTCGCCATTTACATGGTAAATTTCAATACACGTTTTAGAATATATATTTTTTAAAGTTTTATTACTACTACTACTATGATACTTCTTTAATAATACTGAACGTATAGGAGGCTACTGTCTCCAAGAACCTTCAAATGTTCAAATAACACAGTTCTACGAACAAAATACATGAAAATTTAAATGGCACCTCACTTTCTTCGGATTGTACACTGGTTTACATCATTAAAAACTAGAAGTGCTAAAACTGTACGTATTTTGTAGTTTTAGTAGTTGCTAAGTAATACTATTTATACCACAATTCCTCTCCGAGTTAACACATCTCAGTCATTATTTTTTAAGGTTACTGAATTTCGAAAAACAAATCCTCTAACACGTGATATAAGCAGAAACCATGTTTTGTGGGTCTTTGATACAGGAAAATCGATTGATGGCACACGACATACAACATCTGTATGTCTGTCTGTATGTCCGTCCCTCCATTTGTCTGTGAACTACGTTAACGGCTAAACCGTTCAGCCGATATTCTCCAAAATTGAAATTCCTTGATAATGCTGGCTGATGTCGAGGCTCTTTGAATTTGAATCCGATATTATAATTTGAGGGTGTATTTTACATAGAGCCCTGGGTAATTTTTAACATTTTTTTAAAAGATGGCTCCCATTTTTAATTATCTTAGTTATTGGTTAGTTTGAAGAACGTATAAGACATAGGCATAAGTCTCATGCTCGTTGAAAATCCGTCTTTTTTGAAACGTTTTTCGGCGTATTCCCACAACCAAAATATTAAAGATAGTTTTTTTCTTTAATGAAATCTTAGTGACAGGCCACTACTTTACTTGCAATTTTTCAAACTATCATACGCTAGTATTCACAATCTCAGTTACGCTTTAGCCGATTTGTCTGCTAATGCCTCCTGGTAATTAAGTTGCACATTCTCTCGTTTGCCCTCCCAAATACTTTCCGGACCTTTCATTAAGAATTTTCGCACTCCCCGTCCAGTGCACGTGTCATTGCAGCTGTCCCTTCGCACTCTCTCTCCTTTCAAACGCACCGTTTTGTGCTCCACATACTCTACAACCCATTAGAGATTCCCCGTTCGCCCACTCAGCAATCCAGCAAATTCACACTTAGCACCCTTTCACCGAATGGTCCACTCACCAGTTGCGCCGCCACCTTGCCGCTTGCCTGAGAGCTAATTTGTCTGTGATGTACGACCTTTTCCACCGGCTGTCATTTAGTAGGATATTTCATCAATTCGATGCTAACTGCCTTACCGTCCCTTCATATGTCTCTCCGTCCATTTACCTTCTCTCCTACTCATTCGCTTAGGGTCCTACCGATAATAATTCTTCACTTACTTCGCGTTCCTTCAACCAGTCGAATGACAATTCTTCTGTCCGTCATATTATCCATCCACCTGGCAGCTGTTTCGTCCGACCGAGCGATCTTCCTTTGGAGTGACTGTTCTTCCGTCGGACCGACAGTTCTCCTGTCAGAGCAGCCATTTTCCCATCCGACCGACATTTCTTCCATCTATCCTACTGACCGTTCTTCCATCTGATCGACCAACCGACCGTTCTCCCATCGACCATCCGCGTGACAACTCGTCTATTCGTTCGTCCTCCCGCATACCAATTCCTCACACCACAAACTCACCCTCCCATCTTAACCACTCATTAAGCCCCCACGCATCCCTATTACTCATCGTTCCCTTCCGGGCTCGGGTGCCACCCTTGGACAGTTCTCGGCTCCCCCGGGGGCCGCTCTTGCCTGCGACCGCCTCCAGACGGCGCAGCGCTCGCCGCGAGGGAAGGCCCGTCGGGGGCTGCTTCCGGGCTGCGCCGGGCATTGTACGCCGTGAATAGGGCCGCGGTCGCGCCGCCACGCCCACCGCTTGCGACGCCCACGACACTTGTCCCGCGTCCGACGAGTGCCCTCCGCGGCGCGGCCGGATTACAACGGCGACAGGAAACCCTCAATCTGTTGGAGTATTCATCGTTACAAGGGACAGAGAGTGTGCGAATAAGAGAGAGAGTGAGCGAGTGAGAGAGTGAATGAGCACATGACACAAAATGTTTGTGACAGCGAGAGAGAGAAAGAGAGTGAGTGTCAGAGTGAGAGAGAATGAGAGAGTGAATGAGAGTGACAGAGAGAGTGAATGAGAGTGACAGAGAGAGTGAATGAGAGAGAGTGAATGAGAGAGAGTGAATGAGAGAGAGTGAATGAGAGGGAGTGAATGAGAGAGAGTGAATGAGAGGGAGTGAGAGTAAGTGAGAGACAGTGAGTGAGAGAGAGTGAAAGTAAGTGAGAGTGAGAGAGAGTGAGTGAGAGTGACTGAGAATGAGTGAGAGTGACTGCGAATGAGTGAAAGAGTGAGTGAAAGAGTTAGTGAGAGACTAAGTTGAAAAGAGCGAGGAGGAGGTTGAGTGAGAGAGCAGAGGGGCTGTGAGTGCTAGGAAAGAGCGAGAGGGGCGTGAGTATATGACGAGCGAGACGGTGGTGAGTGAAAGAAGCGAGAGGGATTGGAGTGAGAGAGAGCGAGAGGGATTGGAGTGAGCGCGTTAGATTGAAGAGGCGAGAGGGATTGAGTGAAGAGAGAGCGAGAGGGATTGAGTGAGAGAGAGCGAGAGGGATGAGTGAGAGAGAGCGAGAGGGAGTGAGTGAGAGGCAGAGAGAGAGAGAGTGAGTGACGAGTGGTGGTTAAGAGAGCAAGTAAGTGAGCGACTAAGTGAGTGAGGGTTGAGGGAATAAGAACTCATTTTTCATTAAATTTTGATTGCTGATCCAATGCTATTATTTCCTGAGGACTGTGGTATACCTCATCCCCTGGAACGTAAAATCCGGCGCCGAAATACGTGACTTGCGGAGTTTGAGATGCGAAGGGAAAATCCGAAACCTTTCGAACTAGAACCCGAAGACTTCGTCAGCGATGTTGAAGATGCAAACGATGTTACGGGTACGTTTTCGCAGCCGTCGTTATCTTTCTAATCAACAACATAATCAACATCGTTACCAGACTATCATTACTTTTCAAGAAATACCTTCCATTGTGGACGTATTCCCTCGTTTTATTTGTGGGATAGGCCATCGTTGCGAGTCTACGGATGTATTGTCCCCCTTTTTAAAAACATTTTGTTACCCGTAGTATATTTTTATGAATAGAAGTTAAATCAGTGTTTTTTCGGCTACAATTCTTAATTAAAAAGGACACTAATAAAATACACGGATATAAAAGCAAGTTTTTTCTCGCGGTGCCAGAAATGTAAACTATTCATAGATCACAGTAGAGTATCGAATAGGATTTCCTAAACACGATGTTTTAAGCGTCCGCAACCCGCATTACACATTTTGACTGCCCTGCTGCTGTTCTCCGCAATATACTTCGGTTCAGTCACTTTATAAAATTGATAGATCAACGGAGTGTAATCGTTTATATCTCAAAAGATGAAGATTTTCTAATTAGTTCAATTTTACCCATGAATGTGAAAGAATAATTTATTCAGTACTGTCATCATTTTGTTGTTGAAAGCTTGACCTTGTCTTCAATGCTTTCAGAAATCCCCTGCTCCCAAATCTTTAAATCTCTATATATACCTCCGTATCTATTACGCATTCTATCTCTCTATCAGTTTAACTGTCTCTAACTGTGAATCTATCTCTGTGTTTACATCAGTCCATTTATCTCTCCATCTCTGTCCTTCTCCCTTCTTTTCTCCACCTTTCACTTTCACATTTTTTCCTCCAGTGTTCTTCTTCTCGTTTTTTACTATTCTGTTACATTCTTTATTTGAATCTTTCTTTTTCTTTCAAGCCAATTATGCTCTTTTTCTATCTGTCGCAGCCTTTCACTCTACGATATATGTCAGTAATGCTTTCAATAGCAGTACATTTTAGGAATAAGCAATATTTTTATATATTGCGAAATGTGGAGGCAAACATATTTGTAGTGACAAATAATATGAATATGTATCGCGTGAAATATATTGCCGTGTACCTGTGACAGCCCTTTGCGTCAACCCGCGCAGAGGTACCGCACGCAACGCTAGAAAATGCACTTGGAATGTATCCTCCATTGTGTCGGCAGTTTGTAGCGTAGGTGCTAATGGACGCGGGCCCATAAAGCCTGCCTGACCAGGGCTTTACGCTCCCCGTCAACGAGCCAGTTGCCGCCAGCATCGCCCAGCCCCTCGACGGGTAGTTGGCGTCTGGCGTCCGGCGACCGGCTGGTGGCGCGGACAGCGCTCCGAGTGGAGGACAGCGGCGGCACGCGTGGAAAGCGTCGGTCAAAAAATAATTGGGGAAAATAACTATACCTTACCGAAATCATTGGTTAAAATAATTATAAAATAAACTACGTGGAAATTACTTATGAAAATAAACAATAACTGGCAATAATTACTTGATAAATAAATGTAATAATTCGCTCGAATATCTGTGGTCATAAGAAATATAATAAATAACGTGATTGATCAGCGACAAGCGTCAAGGAAAAAAGGAAATCTATTCTACGCGTAAATAATCATTGAATAATTTCACGGCGTTAGTGCAAAATGTCGTTAAGCTTTTCCAATTTTAAACTCATTTTCACGGAACGCGTTTTCAAATAAGTTTATCAGAAATCATTTTAAGAGCATCCCAACACAACGCAATAATGCATAAAGAACGCCAAAAATATAAATATTAACGTGAGCTATATTTTAAAAAATACATTTGTGAAAATTGTGGAAAATCAAAAGTCAACGTTAAAACGGCGAAGTCATGCCATTCAACGCAATTCACGCTATACAAATAAAACGTTTAAATATAAAATTTGAAGCCTTTTTTGAGAAAATCGTGTTCATATAGTTGACCATATTTCACTAAAACGTCCGAAAAAATAACTTCATTATTTTAATTTCATGACGAGAGTTCTAGTAATAGATTTGTGAGATCAAAGCCAGGGCAATTTAGTTTCTGAAGTATTGCGATATATTAGGCGTCTGATATTTCATGTCTTCTTTCATTGTAGACATTGTAGTCATTTCATATGGAAACGCCTAGTTTTTTATTTTCATTTTTTCATGTATCGTTTTTCGTGAGTTTGCTGAAACTTGATCGTTGCAATGCGCGATATCTGCCAGTTGCTACGTCATATGCACTGGCGCCGGTGCATAGTGAGCTCCTGGCGTAAGCAGTACTTACGAATCATGGCATTATTTTCAGCCGTGTCAATGGCAAGCGCCTATTCATAAAATGTAATCATTAGTCTTTTCTAGAATGGACTGTCACAGTTTCTTACTAAAGAGAACATTGTGCAGGAAACAACTAAAGGAAATTGAGAAGAAGCAAATCTTGCGAAATGAAAAAAACAAATAGTCTAAATATTTTTGCAAAAAATGTAAAATATATGTTTTTAGAACATTCCAAAATCATTTGTGGAAATTATATTTAATATTATTTACTAAGATAATTAGATGTGTAGTTAATTTTTCGCGTATTTTATCTTTGTCACCATAAGTATTCAGAGAAGGTTTTTGTAATGTAGGATTTAATAACAACTGCATTGGGAGACATGTACGAGTACAAACTATATAAAATATCACTTCTGTTAGTAGAGCTTCAAGTCATTCGCATTCACAGAAAGTTGAAATTATATCTGAGAGGTACATTGCGGGCACTGGCGTGAGTCTATCTATTGCGGGCACTTCCGGGTTAAAGAAATAATTGCGTATAACCAATTGCGTTTGAAGAAAAATATGGTTTTACTATTGTAGTTGTAGAAGACGCCAACAAATGATAATGTTTGCAAATTTTCAAGAATTGGGACAATTAAACGAAAATGAGTTTTGCGCATTTTAGACGCATTTATTCTCACTAAAAAACGTAAAAAATAATTTTGGGCCATTTTTTAAATATTTGGAAATTATCAAGGATTCGTCTAAAGTAATTTGAAAAGTCGAAACATTGGTTTCCAATTTAAGGGTTCCCGACGACGTTCCCATAGATCGGAAAATATCAATTTTGGTGACATTTCTGCTTACAATTTAACCACTATCGTTGTTGGCAGACAGATGGACGGACAGAAGAATGGAAAGATGTTTTGTCTTAAACCTATTTTCCCTAACAAGGACCCACATAACAGGTATTCCGACAACACAATGTGTAAGAGAAACTAATTTATTTCATAATAGAAAAAGATTGATCCTATCGTTGGTATCAATATCCCACAATAAATATTCGACTCAGGAAAAATTGCCTTCTTTTGCTTCAGAATTACAAAACGATTTCTGTACTTTGTCAATAGTGTGCGAAAAAATAATAAAAGTGTGGTCCTCGATGAAAATGCATACATTTCACGAACATTAGTTAAATTGTGCTGAGGATCTAGGATTCCCTAATATTTTTCTCATCTCGCTAACTGCAGAAGGTTTGCACGAAGATATTTTGTTGCTTGTATACTCCAAAAACTTCGATTAAAAAAATTATTTACGTGGATTATAGATTGACGGAAAATTCATAAATTTCGAGTTTAGTTGAAAACGGGATGAATGTGATGCATATACGTGAAGAATGTACTAGAGCACTTTTATTGCAATATTCAGCAATAATGTCCGCTAACCTTCGACACACACAGCCTATGCTAGAATTTCATCAAATAGTTATGTCGTGCATTCATACATACTTTTCACGTGAGTTTATCAATGTTGACCTTATTTTTAGAGAATATAACACATGAAACTGAAATTCTCGTAAAAACTATCCCGAACCTGTACCTGCACGCACTGAACTAACTGTTTGTGGCATTAACAGCTGACGCTTCGCTCATCCGCCTGCGGAAGAATACATTTCGCGACGACGCGCAAGTGTTCTAGAACCTAAGAAAGTATTTGTTTGAACCGAATTTAATGAGAGTGTTTGAATGTTTACTGGTCTTATTATTCTTCCATTCTTCACGAATGTTTACACTTCGTAATCACAGGACATACAGTTCCTTTATTTCCTGCTTCTTTCCTTTATTACTTCCGCTCTTCCTTTATTTCCTCTTGCTCTCCAACACCCCTGCACACGTTTGACGATCTGTTCATCTCGTAGCCAGCGTTTTAATTTGTTGCCAACGTTCGTGTTGAGAACATGGACGACTTATCTCTTTTCCAATATATGGATACAAGTAATTCCATGTGTTACATGCTGCTTTCCCTGTCTTGTCTTCCTGCTTTTTATGAATGTTTTTTAACAATAAGAATTCATCGATAAAAGGCTAAGTGAAAATGTATAGTTAGCTCTTTTTGAGGGCAAACAGTTAACGCCGAAGTATGCGTAAGGCCGCCCATATCTAAGGAATGCACCTGTTGCGTCCTTCAACAAACATCTATAATCAAATCAATAAACATTAATTACGCACCTGCTACGTATCCAGGGATGAATTTCTGAGACTGGCAATTATTAATTAATTAGGTACAGATATTTAATATTTTCGTGTCATTTTTAATTTAAATTTTTCTGTTTCCATAGACTAACACGCACCACTGCTCTGTGTAAATTATTATATATTTTTGGAAATATTATAACATAAACAAAAGAACTACCAAGCGGAAAATAAGGAATATTGGTCAAGCTATTATGCCGACTTCAGATGAGTTCCATGTTGTACAACTGACTCGACCATATTTTCAATAGCAAAACCATAATCTTAAAATGTCTGGATCAGATTTCCAAAGAGAATTCCGCAAACTCAGCAAGTGCGGAGTTCATGCAACAAGCGCACCGCGTTGTGCTCTTGCACAAATCAAATAACTAAATGACAAAGTTTGGTTCAAAATCAGTGAATGCGTAACTTCGAATATCGAGTAGAAATAGAACATGCAAATTTCCAATCTCTGACATAAGACAAGGGTCGAGACGGAAAGACAAAAGGAGGAAGGAGAGACTCGCAAAGTTGAAGTGAAGTTTTCCATCGTCTCTAGCATTTCTAGTAATTACATTGATTGCGTTAACACACATCATGGACTATCGCATCGACACACAGCAATAGATTTTGCGTCATTGTAGGAGAGCGCACAGTTATTAGTTTGCCCCAAGCGATCCGGGAATCGAACCCAAGGTTTGCCCGTGTAAAGCGAGCACGCTATGAAATGAGCCCACCGAAGGCTACATCTACACCATTCTACTAATAACTGAGTGGTTGTAAGAGAGAGGAACTACTTTAAAAATTGGGGCGTTTAGTTCACAAACCGTGTGTAAGAAATGTTGTTTCTACTTGTCAAGAAATGTTAACTGAACACCAATTGGAATGTTATTTTGGAATTTAAATTTGAAATCTCAATCTGTTCTAAGCTAATCACTTTTTTAAATATTGTTACATTATTAAACTAATAGTATTGAAAAATTCTCTGCAAACTTCAGGTTTATATCTTAAAATTAAAGAAATTACATTCACTGTACGTAACAAGATTGAAATATAATTGCCATCAGTGTAATTATAGAATTTCAACTACATTTTACATGGCTTCTCGAGTATAAATTAAATCCTAGAATAATGCAATTTATATTAGATGTACGGTGAGATATGCTTTAATGACTCAAAAGATAACATTAGTCACTGGCCGAGTTGCAGCAGCTTACGGCTAATGTTGCAGTTCTAAAAGTGCAACTTAAACGCATTAACGTTCGTTAACTGGAATTGAATCTGCACGAAAATGAAATTCACGGAAGGGAAGCAGACGATATCTAATTAATTCTATAATTAATTACAATTTCGTCATAATTGTTGGAATGAAAGGAAAAAAAGAAGAAAACACTCCTTGCACGGGATGATGAGAAATGTTTAATAATAATAGCATGCGTTCTGAGAGAATTAGGGAAATGTTTAAAGGCTATTATTTTACTGTCTTAAGAGTACGAATATGAGAATTATTTGGTTACTAATCTGTTACGTAACTAATTCGAAAGGTTACTGCAAATTAATGCAGTTAGTTGTCAAACTACAAATGTTGCGTGCAAATATTTTGAAGGAATATAGATATGCCTTCCTAGAGAGTACAATCCCAGTTTTACCTATTTACGGGATGTTTAAGGTGTTTAACTTGCACAACGATCAACCCATCAATTAAGTTATACAATGCTTTACTGGTTTGGCATAGATATATTTTGACATTGCTCGCATCCACTTTTTCAAATAGCTGATTGCGTCTTGATTCATTAAATTACTCTCCAACTAATGAAAAATACTACTCCGGACCATTTGATAACAAAAGAATACCACAAATAATTCAACTTTTGTCTCGCTATGATAACAATTCTTTACATAAATTTGCTGAAATATAAAATTGGTGTAAATATTAATTTAGAAACGTAAAGTGCTGAAAGATTTAGTTTAATGTTACAAATCGTGTCTTATTTGCTCTTGAAGACTTGCTTTCTGATATTCAATTCTCAATGAGTTTCTACAATTATACATTTCTAGACAAATATTGGGAATTATTTGCTTTTCAGAATATAATAAAACCTGTTCGAAGAAATATAACTTACGAAATGTGTTTAGGTTCCTGCCTTAAAATACGGAGAAGGCACGAAAGTAATATACAATGCGAAATATTAAAATGAGGAAATAACGTGTTTATGATACATTAAAAACGCAATAGTAACAATACGACGAATTTTGAAAACTTAAACGAAATATGGATTTAAAAAACAAAATGATATCCAGAACTGCTAAATGATAGGAAAAATGATAGACAAAATGAAATAATTTCATACCTCCTGAAATGAAATAAAACAATTTACTAATACTATTCCCTGCTATAAACATTTTAATTATGACTTCCTTTACATTTCGTTTGCATTTTCTAAAATTTTCCTAAGACTGATTATAGATTTGTGAGCCACAGACATGCCGGCAACTAATTTTTAAAACCAAAGTTTCAGTAATTTTATGAATATAAATATAATGTTTAGTACCCGTATATATTTTAGAAATTTTATTCTTATTTCAATCGCCCAGAAGATGGTAACGTACGACAAGTAACTAATGCAAAATATCATAGTTAACACACGTAATAAATGAGAAGTGCCAATTTCCGTCTGAAACCCACGCGAGAGGGCCGGCGCCCGCGGCGAACGGAACAAAACACAGTCGCCCGCGGAGGCGACGGAGGCGGGCGCGCAGGCGATCGTACGCCGCCTCCACCGCCCCCGCGTCCGCGTCCCCGCGCCGCCGCTCGCCGGGTGAAAGGGGGCGCCAGCCGGGGTATAACTGCCCAGCAGCGGGCGTTCCCGACGCAGTCGCTGGCAGCTCCATCGCTCGCTCGCTCTCTTCCAACCCCAGCGCAATGCAGTCCCAGGTGCGTAGACACGGCCACGCTCCAAGGCGCGAAAAGCGTGCATCTGCTTTGCACACCGATTGCACAGGACGGTTTATTTCACTCGCGGTAAAAATTAAGTACATCATTTGATGCTGTTAAATATTTAATATAGTACTACCTAGATAAATTAGCTACAATTTTTACTAACCATATAAAACTAGCTTGTAGTCAAACACTGCTATATAAATAATAGTTAAAAAGTTTTTTCGAATTTTAAAAACAGAATTAATATTTCATATCAATAAATCTGGAATGTGTTGTTCAAAGTTGCTTGATCTATTTTTCTAAAATACGCTAAACCACACAATTATCCAAATTCACTTTAAAATAGAAGGCACAGAACTTACTAAAACGTCACGCCTGTTTCATTTTTAAATAACGAACAAAATAAGTTTCAAAAATAATTCAAAATGTAATTTTAACCTGTTATACATCTTTCAATTGATATGTAGATACTGTACAAGGGCTTGGTATGAAATATATTAGTTTTGATACTGTAGAAGAGCAATTAAATCTAAAAGCGGGTATGTTTTAATATACACATTTTTGTCACGTTTACAACATTTTTCGTGTGATTTTTTTTATGAAATTTAAAAATATCTAATATTTAGTTAATCTATAGAAAACTCTTCTTCTTTTCACCACGCAAGAGTTACTGCAATTGAAGTATATTTTTCTAAAAACATGGATTTTCTCATGTGGCATTTTAAATTACTAAAATGGGTTAGTAAAAACGTATAGTTTTAATTTGCTTTTCTGGGGGCTATTATAGTGGTTTTATATTTAAATACATTTCGATTGTATTTTATTAATTTTCTTAGACTTAATTTGTACCAGAAAGACAGACGAAGGTAAGAGTAGTATGAATAGCTCCGTAACTTTCAGTTCACAATTAGGAACAAACGCGATACAAATGTTGTATCTTCGTGCTCAGCTCGCTTTATTGCCATCTCGGTTTGCTGCAGTTACAGAGGTTCCACTCTCCTTGGGAGGTTTATATCTTTACGGCATGTTGCCCTTCCTCTGACCACAGCTCTTCGCGGTCTTGTGCACACGTGCGATGGTAGAACGTGCAGTGATGCGTTGGTTGTCGGGTAGGTCAGTGTGCACGCCATTCTAAATTATGTTTTCCTTCTGTTCCTTATATTGTTTACGCTTTGTTGAGAAGCGGTCATTACGCAGTAAAGCAGCAATAACATGTAGGATTTGATTTGTTTTACGTTTATTTACGAATTTGCTTATTTATGAACTTCAAGATCATTCCCGACCACATTATTGACTGTAACCTTAGGGTATCCGTAAGAGTAGACAGTCTTTTGCCAAGAGGACCGCCAGGTAGCACCTCCGCGGAGCTTGTGTCGGAGCTTGTGGGTTAGCAGAATTTACTTAATTCCCATTTCTTTCTTACAATTGTAAGAGTTTGTAATTTTCTGATAGTGTCCAGACCATGAACATTAATTTTAATGATTTATTGTATTTATTTTTGTTTTAACTTAACCATTTTCCTAATTTAATTATGATTGTAAATTTATTTTAATGATATTCTGCATCTTCTATACACTTCATCATCATGACATTAAGCAGAATCTAGCTTTGTAGTTCTTGTACATCATGCCTTACACCACATATCTGAGACCTGTAGTTTGACGGCTTTCAAAACATTCTAGTTTTTCTTCTTAAAAGAATGGTCTCCCCGAGATACCGTAACAATGCAGATTTCCAGCATTTAGTTTGAGATATACCTTTGACACATAGCTTAAGCCAACAAAGCATGACGTTTTGAGATAAGATGTTACCATGGAAGTGTAATAACCGGCACCTAGCCGGTTTTGCAGGTGCAACGAGTAGTAGTAATTGTAGTTCATCCGCGGCACCAATTTTGACTTTCCCGCCTTATTTCGTGAAAGGAAAAAGTATTTTAATCGTTCGTCGGAAAACGGTAAATTTTTTATAGAAAACTCTCAAAATTGATTGATAATCGCAAATTGATTTAAAAGAATTGACGTCCCACTGACTTCGAAACAAGTATTTTAATTTTTCAGGGTACTTTAAATTTTCGAAATTTTCTGAAAAACTGCTCCAAACGTTTTCATTAATTTTTGTCCCCAGATAGCGTTAAAGAGGCTTAAAAGAATGTCACAGGTGTCATTTTCGTTAAACTGTCTGAATTTTTGAAAATGGCAAAAGTTATAAATAACCCAAGAAAGTATGTTATTGTTGTAGTTTTTTTCTTTATACAAAGAGTGTTCGTAATTACCTTTAGGAGTCTGATTAAGCTACAATTAAAGATGCTCATTACAATGTACATTATTTAGTTTCGTAAAATAATGCACCTAGCACTTTTTTCATCGCGAGGACTATGGAAGGGTAATGTTCATCTATTCGTTGCATCCACTTATGTCCTCCGTGTCTTGTGCAGCTGTTGGTAGCCCTGTGCGCGTGTGCGTGCGCTTGCGCGCTGGCGACGTCGCCCTCGTCGGCCGCCGGAGGGGAGTACGTGCTGGTGGCACGCGTGCGGCGGGGCGTGGAGCACGGCGGCGGCAGCGAGATCGTGGAGGACGGCGGCCACAGCCAGCCGCAGGTCATCCAGGTCCCGGTGGCCAGCCCCTACGCCGTGCCCGTGCACCACCCCATCCCGCAGCTCATCCAGAAGCCCTACCCGCTGCACGTGCGCATTCCCGTGCCCATCCCGGTGCCCGTCGTCAAGACCGTCACGGTGAGTGCGGGCAATTCAGAACGGGGACGTTTACGTCGCAAGTATCCGAAGACCTGTATCGAATAGGAGGATACAGACTCATCAAACAAGGCAGTTGGTCCGAACATGTTTACCAAATGAGTGTTGTAGTGTTTAGGATTCGAATATCGTACTATTTTTTTAAATCTTATTTGAAAGCAACTCCACGAACTATAATTTTCATTTAAATTTCACTATTCATATTGCAAACTTTTTGATGGATTGACTGTTAAATAGAAAGCCGTGTATTAGTTTTAATATGACGTTATAAAACCGATCAATCTTGCTCATAGTTGGCCACGGATTATGAGAAGTCTTGTGGCGTAATAATTCTTATTCCAAAACTAATCTCAGTTTCGAGATGCCTTTCGCAAACAATGCGAATAAGTAATATGGCAAATATAAAAATTGTATGTATAATTATTTGGATAAAATATCTTAATTGAATTTATCACATAATATTAATAACAATAATTTAAACAGTTGAGAGTAAGCCTGTTCATACACTAAACTTGCAAGTCAGCCGTCTTGAAAGAAATATTTAAGAGTGGTCATTTAATTCGTGGTACACTGCTTGGATAGTTCTTATGATAAAATATGGAGAATTATTCTATTATTCATGACATGCAATGCAGGTCATTAATTCTCCAGACGATTCCTTAGGAACAAAAATTTCGTTCTGCTTTTGTCGCGAGCAAATACCCCATTAGTACAATCATACTGTTTTCTCTGGCGCTCTTTACTTTCAATTTTAATCTGAGGACCGGTTGTTAGTTCTGCCAACTTGTTAACTAGTGTACGAACACCTAATTGGTACAAGACAAGAAACACCTTCATTAGGTAACACCAACATGTATATCAGCATACTTATTATGTTTTTTATTCTCCAATTAAATGAAACTATACATATCTTGTAATGAGAAAATTTTATTCAAAATCGTCAGTTAAAGAATACTAAAAAAGGAAATTGAAAATTACGCAGTCAGTCACTACAGCATTTTCTTAAATATGTTAGGTTTGGCAAATGTTAAACAATCCCAGTGTTAACGCTCACTGGCAATGGTTCATGTCATTGACATTTGGAAAACACAATTATATTTTTCATGAATTTTGCGAACCACTTAAAGAATTTGTTTTAAAAGACTCCTCAAAGAGATGAATTTAATGAACACATGTTTTACAACCATATCTTCGACAAATCGGTTGTTCTTTGTTATGTCACTTAATGCTGAACGAAACGACCTATCCCCTAATCAACAAACAGAATAAATGAAAATTGACTCGTGCTTGTTGTGGTGTTGTTGTGCAGATCCACGTTGACAAGCCCGTGCCGGTGCACGTGGAGAAGCTGGTGCCGTACCCGGTGGAGAAGCACTATCCCGTGCGCGTGGAGAAGCACGTGCCCGTGCCCATTCCCAAGCCCGTGCCCATCAAGGTGCCCGTCGTCAAGACCATCCACCACCACGTCAAGCACTGATTGGTGAGTAAGTGCGTTCTCCAACTATTTTCCAACTCAATATTGCAATTCCAAATTGCATTATGTCCTGATATATACTGCAAAGAAATGACGTTAATCATCACTATTTTTGCAATGATTTTAAGTCGGAATGATGTTGTAGAGAAATTTTTTTAAATTTTCCCCGGTTTGTTCTAAAATACTGTAGATAACTACTGAGCTGAATATGAGTACTTAATTGTTTTAGAACAAACGTCCTCCGAAATCATCGAAATGTGAACGAAAACCGGGTGATGGCGGTTTTACGGTACATTTCGACATCCAATCATCGATAAAGGATTGAAAATATCATGTGAAGGTTACGTCTCAGGATACTCATTATCAAATGAGTGCGTTTACGTGTGCATGCTCTTCGATTTACACCGTCACCTAAAATTCCCAGTCTGTATTTCTCCAGCAGGCCTAGCACGACTCACTTATCTTATTTACACAATATATAGTTTACTCTAAGT